CTCCACCATTTGATCATGGCTGATATATTTCTCAACTCCATTCTCCTGCCTTCTCCCCATAAACCTTTGATTCCCTTAATAATCAAGATCCTCTCTGTCTTAATTACATTCAATGACTTCACCTTCACAGCCTTCTGTGGCAATGAGTTCCACAGATCCACCACCTTTTGGCTGAAGAAATTCCTCATCTCAGATTGAAAATGATTGCATACACTGCAACTGGATCAACATGGAAACTAGAAGCAGAATAGGCAATTCAGACCCTTGAGCCTGTTCTGCTATTTAATACAATAGTGGCTAATTTCATACCTGCCTCAACTCCACTTGCCTGCCTGCTCTCCATAACACTAACTCGTTACTAATTAAAAATCTATCTCCTCAAATTTATTCAATGACCACTACACTCAGGTAGTGAGCTGCTACACAAGTTGAACCATAAAAAGAATTAAACAACAGGGATGACAGGCAGAGGAAGGACAGTGAAACGGTCTTAATAGATGCCTAATCTGAAAGCCTGACTGTATCAAGGGCTGTGAATAGTAAGATGCTGTAGAGAATGCGCTAATACTGTACAATTGAAACTGGACTGGGTATGGGACATCTAAAGGCTGACAAGTAAAATTAAAATGATAACAACTGAAGTTGTAATAGTGCACGTGGCTTTCATTCTAAGACTAAATCATGAACACAGAAGTTCCACTAAATAACACTAACTCTCACTGGCATTATTTAAAAACAAAGAAGCCCTGAATGATTATTTCCTGGTGAGAATTTCCTAACCCTCTACTAAAGTGCCAACATAATAAATCCAGAGGACTTTCCAACATTCTGGAACCTAGGTACAGATTTAATTGTTGGGCCTCCCACCAGAAGTTTTATCCTTTGTTGTATCTATCCTCAACATTGATATGGCAACAAGTTGGAATTAAATTACGGAGTTCACTTTTGAGTATTCCGCACAATTGAGATTTAAAAAAAAAAATCACAGAGAAAATCAATTTAAGCTGTCTAATAAATTTCCCAATTCTAGATCATTATAGGAAGAAACTGAAATCTTTGGTCAAGGACATTCTCCAAAACCCTTTAATCAAGTGCTCATTTCTGACTAGCATACAAGACAGATGGTTCATTTAGCTTACAGTTATTGGATGCCAGAATGAAACTTGAATAAAGGTCCTTGCAATGTGAGTAATATCATCCTTATCCAACAGTTTGAATGGTGGTGACACCTAAAGAAAAAATCCCCACATGGGCACTGATGACATCAAAGAATATTGTATTCCCTATAAATTTCATTACCAGAGAGGGCCTAACTTTTACATGTCTCTTGCCTCTTCAAAACTGTGTTGCTATGTTTTACAAAGGACATTTCTTCAAAAGTTTCAGCAAGGCCCAAGGCTTCTCAGACAGCACCTTCAAAATTCACAATCTTCATCATCTGGAAGGACAGGGCCAGCAAGTACATAGGATAACCACCAGCTGCAAGTTCCCTTCCAAGCCACACTCCACCACGATTTGGGAATATATTACCATTCTTTTGCTGTGAGTAGGTCAAAATCCTACTCCCTCCCTAACAGCATGGTGAACGGACCAAATGGACTGCAGCGGTTTCAGAAGACAGCGCACCACCGGCTTCTCAGGGGAGATTAGGTATTGGAATAAATACTGGCCCAGCCAGCAAAGTACACATCCTCTGAATTAATCAAACTTTTTCTGAAATTAACCAAGGTACCCTTGCAAGCAAAACATTAGCTGATTTATCATAAAAAGGTAAACTATTTCAACTAGTATCCTTTTTAGTAGGAAGTATTTGAATGCAACTGTAAAATTCAGAAACTTTATAGTGTGGATGCAAGAAAATCACTGAAAAGAGACGCAACCAAAATGCGGTCGAGCAAAATGAACTTTGCAAAAATTTTAAACAAAAACAGAAATTACTGGAAAAACTCAAGTCTGGCAGCATCTGTGGAGAGCTAGTCTGCTTTCTCTCCACAGATACTGCCAGGCCTGCTGAGTTTTTCCAGAAATCCATTTTTGTTTGATTTTTAGCATCTGCAGCTCTTTTTTTTTTTGCAAAATTATAGCCAGACTCCTGTCAAACATCAAGTATAATTTTGGGCAACTTCAGTTTATAGATCCAAGCTATTTCCTTGGAATAATGTATAGAGACCAAAGGTTATCAAAATACCGATCCACTTTTTCTGTAAATAATAGGAAATATCTACAAAAGGCACTAAATCCAGAATAGAAATTAATATATTCTGTATCAGACTAGGCAGTGGCTCAGAATACCATTATGGTACTGATTAATAGAAATGCCGATTAAATAACTAGTTTAGGTGATCAAGTTACGATGGTGTCAGTGTAGCCCTGAGTTTACCTTACTTTTAAACTTCTAAAGGTATGTCTGCACTAGATATCAACTTTTACTTCAAGGCACATTTCACCAAAAAAAAGTGATTCTAAAGTCAAACACAAGAAATATCTATCCCTTTATATACCCAACAAAAACAAAGGCTGTAAGAAGTTGTCAGAGGCCCGGATTCTCAATGTTCATGTCTGGTGTCCGACTACTACTTTTTAATACAGCCCCTCTGTCATCAGGCCAGATAAAGTTTAAGTCATGACCACAAGGTGGGAGAACCTCATTTATGTAGAGTTAGTGATACCACATTCAGAAACAGGATACATTTAGCCTTTAGGCCCCAAGGCAAAAAGGGGAAAGCAAAACAACCCTAGCTTTCCACCTCTGCTGTCCATTATCTTTGCACTGAGAGATTAGAGTTAATCAATCATTTCAGGTCAGCATATGCACATCAGAAGGTCACCACCTCCAAATTAAGCAAATCTTTGAGCCTTGGGAATTAGCTGTCTCCAGAATGCAGAATAGTTTGATTGGATTGGTGGACAGCCATACAGTGGACTGAATGGTTTACGGAGGGCTGTTCAGTTCACAAACTCCACTCCACAAATTGCACAGCATATTTCAAAGGTCAGAACACCAAAGTTGCATCATATTTAAGTACCAAGCAATGTGAATATTAAGATGGATATGAATTCACACAAAAGTATATTATCACAAGATATGTTTAAATCAGTTTCTGAATGCATTCATCTATGAGCATATCCCAATTTGGATTTCAGACAAGGGATGCTATTCATTGTGCTACACAAGTGATTTGAGTGCAGGTACGGAGACATGAAAACTTGACAGGGATGACGTTGAAACTCTGCTTCAACTGTATACAATTATACAAAAGAATTAGGGGAGAGAATGGCCTAGTGGTATTGTAGCTGGACTGTTAATCCAGAGACCCAGATAACGTCCTGGGGACCTGGGTTCAAAGCCTGCCATGGCAGATGGTGGAATCTGAATTCAATAAATATCTGGGATTAAGAGTCCATGAATCCATTGTTGATTGCTGGAAAAACCCATCTGGTTCACTAATGTCCTTTAGGGAAGGAAACTACCACCCTTACCTGGTCTGGCCTGGCCTACATGTGACTCCAGACCCACAGCAATGTGGGTGACTCTTGACTGCCCTCTGGGCAATTAGGGATGGGCAGTCAATGCTGCCTAGCCAGTGATGTCCTCATCCCATGATTGAATAAAGAAAAAAAAATTATGTACCAAACATACCTGGAGTAATCCTGACCATAACTGTAAAAACAGAACATTTTTTTCAACTTGACTGGTAAAAACTCAGGTAATTTTTCTCATTCTATTCTATTCCCTCGTGGACAACACCAGAAACTCATTAGAAATACTCATTTATGCAGCACACTGTATTTAACAGCAGCCTAAAGTAACATTGTCCAAAATACTCCCTAATATTAATGTTGACTTTGTTGAATAATCTAATGCTCCTCTTTATCAAGTGCCTACGTTGAATGGACGCAGTAATTGGGCTCTACTCAATGCTTGGCACCGACACCTTCAGGAATATTGTAATATTGTTGAATGTTGCAGGTTTTGAATGTCACTTTTTTTGAGAGTAAAAATGATACCCTATCTGGGACACATCCACTTGTGACAGGATTTTTTTTAAATATAAAAGTTTTGTGGGGGCACGAGGAGAAGACTCAACTCTTGTCTTTTATTACTGTGTTAAGTGGTCTCATAATATTGAATATGAACTGATAAATTAAATTGTTAACCCAATCATCTCTGTTCATTAAGGGGCAAAGTTTTAGAAATTAAAATTGTCTATTTACCCAAGTATATAGTTAATGTGGCATAGTAAATCATTAGAAATCTAAAGCATTTCAGAGAATTAACATCAATCTATAATTCCCACTTCACAGGGAGACAGCAAACAACTAGCACTCTCATGGAACCTTTCCACCCTCTTTCTAACCCCAGGTTATTAGGTCTAGGGCAGTAAGTACCTTGCCAAAGGCACAAGTCATGCACCAGAAAACACAGGATAAATTAAAGCAGGGATAAATCCTATAAATGTATTGACTAACTAGAAATAAAAGAATGTTCTTGATCCATGTGAACATTCAATTCTGTGTGTTGGAGACCCAGTGCAATAATGCAAACTCAGTGCAGAGCTAAAGGAAATTGAGTTTCCCCAGTCATACAGATCCATACATGGAAAAATTAATGCAAGTGCAATTTTATGACACATCCACAGTTATGGTGTTTGTCCAGCTATGAATCAAAGCTAAGGAAACAATTCCTCGCTTGGGCCTAGATGACATTTGTACAAATTCATTGGCTTTAGGTTGGGTGTGCTGTATTGCGCACCAGAAACAGCATTGCTGCCAGTCTCTAATTTGACAAAAACATTATATTTGGTGGTTGCCTTCTACAGTCTCCTAGGAATGTGACTTTCCCTCCAAAGTCTTTTCTTCCAACACTGAATTTAACAGTTTAAATACAAACTACAACTTTTATTAATAGAAATCATTTGCTACCTCATATCTGCAAAGTGATCTTTGTTTTTCTTTTTCTCTCTTTGCCAGTGCAAAAAGCAAACTTCCAAACACAAACCCAAATTTGGAAGAGAATTTAATCTTCATTCTAATAGCATTTGTACACAAAAAAATAAATCATGGACTCTAAAAAGAATGTACAAATAAATTGGCAAAGTACAAATTTATAATCGATCATCTAGGTACTTGATCGATAAAGTCACTATTCAATTGATCAGATTGCATTGCTGTTTCCCTGCACTGTCCTCTCCACCCCAGATCTAACCCAGAGAGGTCAAGTTCTGGCTACCCACAAAATAAAAGGCATTTAGACCACATTGTAACACCTTTTCTATTGACCCCTTAAGAACCCAGACACCTTTCCCTTTAAAGTCACTTATCCCGAAGAGGAACAGATTCTATGTTGGAGGTTGGTTCACGAGTAGAGATAGCACCTTTGCCCTTCCCATTCTGGCAGCAGTGCAAAACCTGGTGACTAGACAATTGCCAGTGATTATTAGTATTGGTTTTTATTTTGCAGGGTGGGGGCGGAAGAGAGAAAGAGGTAAGGAGAAAGAGGGGAAGAGACAGGAGAGGACGACAAAAAGAAAGAGAAAGAATGTTGAAATTATGTTGGTGACATATACAAAAAAAAGCTGGGATGACAAATCTTCGGTGAATGGGTATTAAATAGTGGTTAAAAATAGGCAAAACGGTAAAGAACAAAACATAGTAAAGAACAATAGTATATTGCACAAGTAAAAGGTGCAGTGAGTTTCCTCCTCAATTAACATTTACATTTTCATTTCAATTTCCCTGGTTTAAACCTCCCATTCTCAGCAGCAGTTCCCTGACAGAAAGGAAAGCAGGTACATGGCCTACTTGCAAATTCCTGCTTTGCTTTATAGTATACTTTGCTCTATAATCACCCACCTGAACATGGTGAAAACATTGTGGGGTCATTCGGTGATTTCTCCCAGTTCACTATGTCAATCCCGCAACCCCCCAAAAAAATAGGAACAACACCTGGTACCAATCCAGCTGAGATCAAGAATTTGCCAAATTTGAATCAATAATATAAAACCCTGCCACAGCCTGTTAATACACTGGCCATACCACATCACTTGGCACTGATTCCATCTTCAAGTCAAACAGGTGCAGTTACAAGTCTGAGTGAAAGGACATGTACTAACGTACAGTTAGCAGGACCACGTACACTCTTTCAATCAGTGTCAACTTGGACTTAAAATCTCCCCTAAACAAACTGTGGCACCCCACAGCACGGTTTAAAATGTCTCTGTTGTGATAATTTCAAAAACGCTGAAATGAATTTATCATAAAACAAATGGAAGACCATGATAAAGGAATGAATGCAGGAATGAGTTTTAAACGATTCAGCTATCAATGAGGATTTTTTTTAAAAAACCCTTAAATTTTATACATGAACTTCTAGATCTTCCCCTCCCCAAAGATCACTGAAAACATTTCAGGGCAGCATGACCCAAGGTGAAAGTCCATGAGCTGAGCTGTAATCATTTCTACTAATTCAGGCTACCAGAATGAAAACAATCTTCTATTTTAATGCATGTTTGTTCCAGACTAAAGCTTTTCTCTTCCTAGCAAATATGTTAGACTCCAAACAAGCACTTAAAATTCCATGGTGTAGAAGCAAAAATGGCAGAAAAGAATCTGAGTTCCACGGAGTCTTAATGTAACACGGTTCTTCAAGACCAATGAGTAAAATTCAAAATGACGCCTCACTGGGGTCTAAGGAGATCACTTCTCTTGGATTTGTAACTATGAAGCAAGGTGGTCAGATGCTGGCACTCGAGAGGACTGGGAATGAGTTTTTCATCACAAGCACGTCTTATCCAGTGATCAACCGCAGCTGGTTTGTGCCAAAACCCAAGTAGTTTTGTTCCATGACTAATTTCAGTTTGAAGCTGTCTGTTGTAAAGTCACCGTCAACTATCCATACTGCTGCAAGCTTCTGAGAAGAGGAGGAACACAGTATTAACAGGATAAAATCATTTACAGCCTTCACACTACTTTGAGTAACTGTATGGAAACAATATTTTTTGATCTGTTCAAATAAACTGTTTCAAACTCCAGATGTCCCAGAGTCCCCCAAAAGTCTGTCCAAAAGACAACAGAACTAAATTTAGATTTTTCTTTAAAATGTTGCAATTACATTTAATACCCAGGAGTCAGTTTCAAATCGTAACAATTAATGCAAACTAGCACACAAAAATGCACCAGAGCCCAAATGGTCATCCTAATTAGAAACTACATGTAACACACAGGAGTAGTAGGAACTGCCGATGCTGGAGAATCCGAGATAAC